AGGAAATAAGTTCCTACTTGTTTGTGTGGATGCCTTCTCCAAGTTTTGTTGGCTTTTCCCCTTAAGGAATGCCACTGCACAGCTCACCGTGCAGGTACTTCGAACTCACCTCTTCCAACATTTTGGAATACCCGCCACCATTGTTTCCGACAACGGAACACAGTTTGTTTCCCATCTGTTCAAAAGAATGTGCTTTGGGCACGGAATCCGCCATGTGACTACTTCCCCTTACTATCCACAGCCTTCTCATGCTGAAAGGTTCAATCGCAATCTTCGCTCCGCTCTCATAGCTTTCCATGCTGACAAGCAGACCACCTGGGATCAGGAACTCCCTTGGCTTCAGTTTGCTTTCAATACTGCTCACCATGAGAGTCACAAGGCGGTCCCTTTCGAGCTGTTTCTAGGCTATCCGCCTAACAACCCGTTAGCGAATGTGTGGGGAATTGGCGACCTTCTGCCACCTCCTGGTGCGGCTGATGTCAAGGCAACTTGGCAAGCGGCCAGGAGAAACTTGATCAGAGCTAGGGAATTGGTCCGGAGGAAGCACAATCGTGGTAGAGTAGACAACCCTTTCCAGGTGGGGGATTTGGTGTTTTGTAAAGCTCATCCAGCCAGTTCGGCTGTGGACAAGAGAGCTGCAAAGTTGTGTCATCGGTGGTCTGGTCCCCACCGCATCCTGAGGTTTTTGACGCCTGTCACGGCGGAGCTTGGAGATCCGCGGACTGGAAAAGTTTTCCGGAGGGCGCACATTTCTCATCTCAAGCCCTTCCGCGGAACTCTTCCGTAGGCAATTTTCTTTCCTCTTGTGTCTGGGTGGGAAGTGCACTGGGCCAGAGAACCTGATCACTTCTCCTGTCCCCTGTGTTCTGCGAAGGAATTTCCCTCACAAAATTTTCCAGCTCTGGCCAGAGCAAACCCTGGGGGTGAGTTTTCCCCTCAGTTTGGAAGTCCCTTGGCGTTCCCCACCACAGACACTTGAGTTGTCTTTCAGGTCATTCTCTTTTCAGGAAGTGGGGGAGAGGCTTGTTTGTTTGTCCCTTTTGGAGAGGAGTGTCCTCTTTTGGGGAGGGAGGTTGAGCCGTGACATTCGCCCGGTGGAAATAGTACTATGCAGTAAATTAAGAGCGCCCAGCGCGCTTGATGGGGCCCGTGAGGAGGAACCAGATGAATCATGCCCTCGCGCCTGCACCCAGACTAACGAAAAGGAAGCGTGATCCATGCGCAGGCCCGAGGAGCGGCTCACAAAACTTTACATAACAAAATGAGAACCATGGATGGAGGCTCAAGAACAACACGCCATTTGAGAGAAACGAGCTGTAATTAACCATTTAAAAAAAATAACACAACAATAACATCAACAACAATAATTAACAATAATACATGAATTAAATACTCTCAATTAAACTTTAAAAATTTTGATACCCGTTTACCCTACTAACTTACAATTATTTCATTAATCATTTTCAAATAGGCTAAATTTCAAAAATAAATCTTACTAGCTTTTACCTTTCAAAAAACTTTAAATTAACAAATTACAACATGATATATATAATGACTCTTTTAATAAATTCATTTCATCTGGTAACTATAGAAACTTTAGGGGCCCCAAATTAGAATTCAATAGAATATTTAATAAAATTATAAAATTTAAAAAAGATCAACAAGTAGCCTAGGCTAAAGAATTTAAAATTTAAAAAGAAAAACAATTAATAAATCTCTGTGCACAAATTAACAAATAGGTAACGAAATCTCCAAGTCCAGGACGGTGGTTAGCAATAATTAATTAGGCCTAAAACTTGCGGAATTTGCGGTACTAGTTCATGTTTCTGGGCGAGCAGCACCGGAGGGGAAGCAGGCATGACGGAAGAGGGGGGCCAAGATCCAGGGGTGGCCAAGAGTTGTATTTCCCACTCCGCCAAGGCTGATGCAGACTACCGGTACTCCATGTTCCTCCTCACGGGCCCTGAGTGACAAAACCCAGGAAACACAGTAGTAAGAGTAATAGACTGAGTCCATATCCGCAAGGTTCACTGTCACATCTTTCACCATTTACATTTAGTTCCAATATTTCACTGCTTTAGGCCTAACATATCATTTTCAAGTTTCTAGATTTTTTAAAAGGTTTGTCTCTCTATCACAGCTCTCTATCAATATAAAACATTTCAAACAATAACAATATTTTAAACATAACAATTAACAGGTTAAACAGTACAAGAACGGTAACGTTAATATTTGCGGTAAAGGTGTCAGCAGGCTAGACGGGTATGTGACAGTGATAAATTTCACCAATAGAGAGAAAATATTTAAATTGCCTGGTCCAAAGTGGCCAGAAGAACAAGTTAACAGAGAACAATTGACACTTAAACACAGAAAAATACTTTAAAATTGACAAAAAACGTTCCATACAAAAATTTAGGCCTAACGCAATGACTCATGTATTTTTGCTAATTTCTCCAAAAGTTGTGATCCGAATTTGTTCGGAATGGTCTTAAAAGCTGGGGGAAATGTTCCAGCAGCTTCTCCAGACCATCCCAAACCTTAACTCAAAGGCTGAAACCAGTTGGCCTATTGGTTACCCAGTTCAAACCTGCATGAAAAGTTGCCAAACTAAAAATTACCGTAACTTTCTTAAAACTTGAGTAAAATGACTCAAACTTTCTGGGGAGCTTTAAGAGCAGTTAATTCAACTTAATTTAACTAGTTTGGCAAGGACAAAGCAAAATAAAAGACTTTAACCTTACTTGACTGGGTAACACAAACTGAACATTTTACAAGACAAAACAACACTAAAAATAGTACGGGACACAGAAACAAAAGACTACCAGAGTAGTAGCCTAAGACAATTACATTTACTGAGCAAAAATTGTAAGCCTAGGCCTACCACAAAACAGTCAGAAGGACCCAAAACTGACTTGGCAGTTTCTCTCAAATAGCGGCCTTCCAACAAACATTTCTCAGTCAATTCTAGGCCTAGCATTTCGGGCAAAGCCCTGAATTATACAAAACCACAGAGAAAAGGGAAACTAACTATCAAAAGTCTTCCACGACCCCAAGACTAGGTTCCAGACCTAGTGCAACATGTGCTCTAACCTAAGTATCAGAAAATAGTCCAAACTTACCCATCAAGCGCGCTGGGCGCTCTTAATTTACTGCATAGTAGAGAATATCTTCACACAAGTAAGGAAAAGGCAAAAATACAACGCAAACATACTACAAAATTAAGATGAAAGACGATGCAAAATTTATGCCGATGCAGCGCTAACGAAAGTCTCGGAGCCTCTGAATCGTCGGCGGTGGGAGTAATAAGAACAAAACCCACAGCCTTGTTCGGGGTCGTGGAGTGAGAAACACTGAACTAGCCTACTATAAAAAAAACACTTGAACCATTGATCATGAGTCGTGACATTCGCCCGGTGGAAATAGTCACGGCTCAACCTCCCTCCCCAAAAGAGGACACTCCTCTCCAAAAGGGACAAACAAACAAGCCTCTCCCCCACTTCCTGAAAAGAGAATGACCTGAAAGACAACTCAAGTGTCTGTGGTGGGGAACGCCAAGGGACTTCCAAACTGAGGGGAAAACTCACCCCCAGGGTTTGCTCTGGCCAGAGCTGGAAAATTTTGTGAGGGAAATTCCTTCGCAGAACACAGGGGACAGGAGAAGTGATCAAATCTATTTTGTCAATACATTACTTACTAATCACTAAATATTAATACTAGTTGTAGTATACAGCGTGGTAGAAAAGTCCCGGAACGTTTAAATATTTAAAAAATGGTACATGGGGACATCAAAATGAAAAAGTAAATCGATCCCGGGCCTAGGTCTTACCATGCCACCTACGGTAATAGCTACTTCCCTATAGGGAACTTCGCTAAAAGGCTGTGACTATTTCAATTTTATCATTTTATAAATTTATAACCAATTAAATAACATAAACAAAATTATTTTAATTATAAATATCCAGGAATTGTTGGGTATTTATGATACAATAAAAATAGTTGAACTTACCATGTTTAGTATCACAAGTTTATGAAATTAGTTTTTTTTTTATTTTGATACCATTGATACCAACAAAAGATCTAGTACAAAAATATTATTAAATCCTGCCATCGTACAGATTGAATTTTAATTATTTTCTTAAGTTGTTTACACATAGGCCACTACTAGGTTAAATTTTCCTGTATTTCTAAATAATAATTATTGCTTTACAAATTATTTTTCTTCACTTCCAATAAAATAAATTCATCTATCTATCATAGAAATTAAAAAATCATAAGTAGTCAGGACCAGTGCAACTATGCGACCGGGTATTTATGCCGATTATGCTTTATGCTCAGACCTGGGTATTTATGGTGATTATACCCAGAAATAAAATGGTAGTAGTAACCATATGAAATTTTATTTAACACTTTTTATCATCATTTTACTATCCTTACATGGTAATAATTGCAAAAAAACATCTCTAACTCGAGTAAAAATTATAAATACCCAGTTTTTGGGTATTTACCCGGGCCTGGGGTAAATACCCAATTTATATTTACCTACCCACTAGGTATTTACCCGGTTCACATCACTAGTTGTAGGTTGTGCTCTTGAGTTTGTCGAGCGTATCTGTCGAGCGGTTTCGGAGTCCCTAACGTTCAAATCCATATATATACAAACTTCCTCTTTCCTAAATATAGATTCTCGATAGCATTGCAATTGGAGGAAATCATAGGAGCCGTTTTTTTTTATCATTGTGTAAAAACTTTCATATTATAGTATAGATTAATAACCAAGATGTTTTATTACGAAATCCTTTAAAACAACTGCCCAACAAACATCTAACTTCTACGAAAGCTAACTTTATTTTCTATCAGTTTTTCAACTAACTAATAACTTCTATCAGTTACTTTTTACGGGACTAACTAATAACATCTAACTAGTTAGAATTTTTGACTAACTTTCCCAACTATGGTTGTGATTGAATTGCAATGACACGTTACTATGTTGTGTTTGGTAGGTTCTAAACACAAAAGTAAAGCCGAAGCAAATAAATCCAACACAGTACAAGTGGCTGATACCAGTGGAAGCAATCAAGGTATGTCAACCATGTTATTTTGTTGCAGAAGTAAAAATACAGGATGTTGTAAAAAACCTTTTGGCTTTGGTATTGATAAAGATGGGGTTTTACTCATTTAAGCTGGATTTTCCTAGGTGCAGAACGCGGAGAAGCGATTTTTTGCTCGTCTAGTGGCGGTCTCCTTAGCTTCTAAGGAGAACAGTATAATAAATTACCTAAGACAAGATGAGACCGTGTTCTGCTTCCCCACCTAGAAAAACCCATCTTGAGCTTTTACTATTTATTTTGGATACGTTATATACATGTTAATAGTAAGATTATATTTTGTTTGTAGAATTTTTAATCCTCCAAATATGAAATATGGATCAAAATCAAGTAATAGCTTTTTAAGTTCAATAGGTGAACAGCATTACAAACCAAAACAGTTTGGAAAGCTATAGGATACTCCCGGCTATCCAAAGTAGTTATAGGCCTAAATACAATTTTATTTTCAGTCAGAAAACAATAATTGTTTTACCTATTAATCCTATTATATTATATTTCCGTTTAGAGAAAAGTAAAAAAACAAGTAATTTTCCATTTGTTTAAATGAATACTTGAAATAACCATTTTGGTGTTTAACGTAAGAATGATCCAAAATAACCTAAAAAATGAAAATCACACATTAGCCTAACTAGGTTGTCCACTAACAGGCTGGAAAGCTGGACGAGCCAGTCTTTTTCATTACAATGTATTGATGTAAACATTATTAAGTGTCAAGTTATAGCTCAGTTCAAACTCAACCAAAATACAATAGTATCCGGTTAATCGGGAGTGTACTTTACTAACCAGTAGGCTTGAAGGACTAAAAACTTATTTCAACTTGTATCTATACATAACCCCACTAATCCGTCCTCTACGGAACCTATGGGCCATGGTCGGAACAGTGAAAAGGCCGGATTACCCGAGGAGCATATTAAATGGCCAAATTAATTGCTTAACTGACATTTATTGATTGACATTTATTGATAACTGACATCTCTTTAAACAGACAATTTTTATCAGCATATCGGTTTAACCGGACTAGATCGGCAGGAAGTGGCCAGTACTAAAACGATTGTTCTTGTGGGAAAGATTTGGGACCAGTGATTACGTGTCTAAATACAATGCTCTCATAAATTTGTCAAATACTGTATGCAGTATGCATTTAAACGTTAAAAGTTTTTGGGGTCGTCGGTTTAACCGGAAAACCCGTTATCCAGACTGGCTACAGTCCCGAGGAGTCCGGATAAGAGGGAGTCTACTGTAACGACAGTTTCCATGATCGCAAGATGATGATAATGGTTCCTTTACTACAGGATATATTTAGGAGTTTGCCACAATCACAGATAGAAGACTAAAAAAGATAAAATTTCGGTGATATAATTGCTGGAGACAATAGTAATGTCCCCTCGTGTTTGGAAGATGTTTAATATTTTGCCACGATTACGGAAGACGATGATGATGTCTACTTGACCACGGGATATGTCCTGAATCTTGCCGCAATCACCAAAGACAATGATGATTTTTCTGTGACCATGGATTTAATATGTCCAGGATTTTCCACGCGGAGAATAATGATAAATGTTTTTAATTGCGGAAAACGATGATGATTTTCCGTGATCTTGGGTGATAAACAAGATTTTTACCGGGAATGCAAGAGATGGTAATAATCTTCACAGAACCATTGCAAACAGTCACGTTATTTCCTACATAACATTTTCACTTATAGGCGATGTCACAGTTGGATTAGCGGGATTATACTGTAAACAGATTTAAAAGTGTATTGGTTTTAAGTACTGTATTTGGTAAAGTCTTAATTGTTACTATTAACATAGCATGCTAAAACAAGAGCGAAGTTAACAAATCTTGATTTTTCTGTCCTTTTGTCGATCAATCTGACTTATTTAATCTCATCAGACGATGTGATAGATAGATAGTATTGATGACAATAGGTGTGGTGAATGTGGACATTGGACCGAATCGTTTGTACTGCGCAGCATGCAATGTTCATGTCAACTCCGATCTTCAACTGCATCAGGTAAAATGTAATCCTTAAATCTAATGACACGTTTAAATGTTAACATTATGTTGATGTATAGTTAATATATAGTTTCGAGCTCTAAAAGTTCTAAAGTTGAACAAAAACGAGTAATTTTAGTCAAAAATTTATATTCAGAAAAACAAAGTGCTTCTTATTACCATTTGGATAGATATGACAAAGTGGCAAAGACAATTTAAACCAAATCAGAATGGACATGTATTGTGAGGCTTTTCCTCACCTAAATCACCTAATTCCACAACATTGAAATCAGAAGCCTGATCATCAATTTTGTTGATTATAAGAATTATCTTGTTTGCCGAGTGGTTGTGGTGCTTGCCTATAAATTCATAAATAAATTTCACACCTAGATGCAATTTGGGCTTTGAAAGTAATGCTTTCTTTCAAAAGGTCAATGTTAGATGTCACAAGGTTTAAGAAAAAAACAGTAAAAACGCCAGGCATAGACATGGATAAAAAAAATAAAAGCTAACAGACTTTCTCAAGGTTCAACCAATTATAATTGACAGTTGTTTTTAACTTGATCTCTATCACAGTATGAGATCTGTGTCGTCCTCTATTCCACTAGATTCTGTTTGCCAAGTCGGGCCAACTACCTGTATCACAGCGGCTGGTTTCTGTTGCCTAGTCAATTTTCCAATTTATTTAAAAACTTTTATTGTGGTTTTTGTGACCTCAGTTTAGTGACCTCAGTTTTAGGGGTAGTCAAATAGAGTTGCACACTACTTATTATTTTTTCTAAATTTAATATTCCGAATGAGAAGGTGAATACTTAATAATTTTTCACAGCATATTACGTCGAGTAAACATGCTTACAAAGTTAATGGGAAAGCACCTAACAACCGAGGAGCTCCTTACGCCAGACGGTTTCCTACAGGCAAGCCTTGGAGCAGACCTGCCGTTGGTGCTAGGCCCATGTTCAGCGGAGGCTGGCGTCCAGGCCGAGGTGGTATGTTTCCCCAGCACATGATGCCGTTTCACAAACATTTCATGCCGGGTGGGACTCTTTCCGGTTATTGGTAAGTGGCCATGTAATATGAGATTGTGATAATGGAGATGTTAATTAAATACTATATTAATTATTGATGTGTCAGTTGCAATTTTTTATCAGTTCACTTTTTGTTTAAGGGTTTTTGGTTATATTCAGATTTAAGTTGATCAAATCTCCACGCACTTATATTTTAGCCTTAGCCACACTAATTGTAATTTTCTTGGTATAGGTTTTGCTGTTGGTGATGGTAGGTAACTTATACAGGGTGAATAAAAAGTCAAGACCCCCCCCCCTTTAATATTTTTCCCATTAAATATACAGAAATATCCTTTTGGTGGTCGTGCAATCTTAGCAGGAAGTTTCATTTTATGATTTTGAAATTTTTAAGTGTCCTCCGAAAAGGGGGGATTTGGGGGGTAACTCAAATATTTTAAATGTAAACCCCCTTCAAGTGACACCTCATTTTGAAGTGTTTATAAAAACTTAAAGAATGGTGAAAACTAGAGGTCGCTATCTCTTTTCTATCCAAAATGGTAGCCCGTCAAATTTTGTAGAAAATCAATGGTAAAATTGGTTCGTAATAGTAATATTGGCTACCATTTTGGTTAGAAAAGAGATAGCGACCTCTAGTTTTCACCATTCTTTAGAGATGCCTTGTGTAGCTTTTTACTGACTAAGATCAGCTGTTTCATTAATCAGGACCGTTCTTATTAAAAGCCCAATGATCAAGGACAGCTGGGTCCAGTTTCAAACCATCAAAAAGCCACACACTTTTCTCAGGATCTAAACGGCGACATTTTAATTACCTTATAAAATATAACTTGTAGTTGTTAAGTATTTATAGACAATAGAGTAAATATAGACTGTCAAAGAAAGGCTTTGCGATCTGCCGCTAGAGCGTTATCGCCGTTCGATGTCGGTTATCGGTATTCGATTCGGTGTCGACCATGACTACTCGCCAGCTGTTACCAGCACTACCACTCTTGCAAACGAAATGATTACTATATCGCTAGTGTCGTCTTCTGCAATCGCGTAAAAATCATGAACATCTTCCGCGGCTGTGTAAACATCATCATTGAATGCCGTGGTCACGAAACGTCATCGCCGTCCACGATTGCGGCGAAATTGTGAACATCTTCAGCGGCCGTGTAGACATTATCGTCTTGCGCGATCGCAGAAAAAACGTGATCATTTTTCCCGCGGTCACGAAAACGACGTCTAGCACGGTCGCGGCTTAAGGACATCTCCCGCGGTCGTGTAGACATCATCATCGTTTTGTGCCGTCATGGAAACGTGATCGTTGTCTAGTGCGATCGAGATAAAATCATGAAATTTCCCGACTTTGATATCAGAATAAAGACTAATCCCAACTGTTCAAGACCATTTTGAAATGCAATACTAATACCTGACTTTCCCGTCTTCCCCGCATACTAGACACCCTGGTAATTAGATTTTGACCTTGCAAATATAAAACAAAACCTTCCAATAACCCACTTCCTAAAATTATTGATTAATAAAGACAAACTTTGAATCATTGTAATGAAACTACAAAAGTATAACAAATACGTTTTAAAAAATACAATAAAATATGGCATTTAAATTATTTTATCGATTAATATTAAAAAAGTTAGTAAACTCCAATTCCGGGGAATTCCTCCAAAGTTGGCAACACTACTCCAAACTACCAAGTTGTTATGGAAACGGTCGCTAGCGCTTGATGATGCAGCGGTGTGCGCCGTAACTACACATTACCCCTAGCGGTCGGCGCCGGAATATACGCTAACCGCAGCACAGCTGACAGTCTATATTTATTTCTTTTTGTCTATGTTATTAGTTTTCTTTATTTCAATCATATTAAAATTATTCCAAACAAGTCAATCAAAATTCATTAACCAATGTTTATGTTTAAATTTATTATTATTAAAGCTTAAATTACAATTCATTTCAATATTAAAATTATCATGTGTTATTACATCAAATTATATTATATCACATTGTATCTAAAAAGAATATTTAATTATTATAAATTGGTCCTTCAACAGCCGGATCTTGTTTCTGGTCCATGGATTTAACTTAAAAGTGTTTCTAAGAACATTCAAGCAATACCTTTTAAAAGACCTTATAGTCTAATTTTCTACATTTTAAATGTTTGCAATTCAGTAGCCTACATCCCAATTTGTGAATGTGCCCCTGTTGCATGCTGCATGAACTAATTGAAGTCAATAGCCTAACTTATAAACTGTGTAGTTTCCAGTGTGAAAACAAACATTAATGTTAACAGTGCCAGTATGCACATGTTCAACTAAACAGTGCCAGTAATGCACATTTTCAACTAAATAGTGCCAGTATGCACATATTCTCAACTGAACCAATATTGTTCAAACAAAAATAAACTGCTTGCATCCTTTTTAAATAGACAAATAGGCTAGGCTCAATTAAATACTTGTCATTATTACAATATTAAGTTTAGGCCTAGTTTAATTGATTCTATTGGTAGGCTCTACTAACTGCTTGGATTTATTTCATTGTTAACAACTTTTTTACCTCATTATAGGTAGTTTAGGCTATTGTGTTCATTCTGTTCGGTAATTCTTTACTTCAAAGTATTCTTTCTTTGTTTTTTCTACTAGGCTACCTTTGTACATGTTTATGTTACTTAAACTGATAGCCCTACCTTCTCATTGTTATGCCATATTTTACTGAAGAATAATTAACTTGAATTCATGTCAGTATAGGTCTACTTGTTTTCATTTTAAAATAAGTTAGGCTACTTTAATTTTTACAAACAACTATACAAAGACATTCTTTATTCTCAACGTACACTATGTCTTCAATCAGGTATTCTACATTTATCAAACAAGCCAAACTCACAAAAGCTCGTTTAACTCAACTGGAATCTCAAGTTAATGCGCTTCAAGTAATTGGTTCCGAACAATTAACCGAAGTTCAAATTGAAAAAATTAGGGCTATTAATGAAACCGCCACTACTGTCCGTTTCAAAAAGCAATATACTCGAGTTTGAACCTTTGCTACAAAGTTATTAGTAATCCGATTTTTACCGTTTATGCATGAAAATTTAGCTTTTTTAATTCTACGTTACATTATATAAATAAAAAAAATTTCCAAAATCTTTGAAAATTTTTGTTATTGGCGTAGTGTAAAAAAACACGGGTTTTAGGCGGTACGTAATTATATTTTGACTTTAAAAATTCATACAAAGAAAACTATAAACTGCAGGACTTTGAAACTTTTATACAATGTTACTTGGTATCTTATCAACATTACACGTGATTTTTAGAATTTTGTCTTTGATAAAAAAAAGTTCTTGTAACTTTTGTAAACCCTTGCTATCTTTTGATTGCTTGGTCGTATAAACTTCCAACAAGGTTCAAATTAAACCGGCGATGGTACAATAATGACTCCGCCCAGTGCGTTACTCATCATGAACGTTGGTGGGGCCGTATTTAAATGCCCTTATCCAATTGCGTACCGTTATGGCACTCATAATGTTCTCGCCATACATTTCACTAATCTGTCAATGATTTTCAATGGCTTTCACACCTTTAGCACTTAAAAATCTAATTACAGCGTGCACTTCACAGTCGGCAGCAGTCTCAATTGGCGGCACCATTTTGAATGCTCAAAACCGGATGTAAACACGGCCGATTTTTCTCAAAATTCCGTCTAGGTCTTACCAATAGATGCCCATACACAGCGCGAATTTCAAAAATGCCAATCACAGTGCTGGAACGGAGAAATTTAAAAACGGTAAACGGTACTTACTTAAAAAACATGCCTCGTATCAAACAAATAAAATTATTTTCATGAGAGCTGATAACGCTGGTTTGAATAAGTTTTAAAATAAATTCTTTCTATGTTTTTGTAATTTTAATTTCATGAAGTTTAATTCAAAATGTAACCTTATTAAATTTTAATTTTACAAAGCTATAAGTTTATTTTCCAAAATAGGTAGCCTCCAGATTATGAATATATGGAATATGGTTTAAAATACTTGTATTTTCGGCAATGCAATTGGTTGTTTCGGAAAACCTACAATAATATTACACCAAGATCTTTTAAATCGGTTCACAATTGGGGTTACAAACAGTAAGAACAACTATAAAACCCTTGCATTTGCAAGCGCCAGAATGGGTAGAGCGCAGCCTTAATTATTGGAAAAATATTTCTATGATAACAAAATATCAACCACAAAATTGTATTGTGAAATACTGAACCAATGTTTTTTTTTATTTGTTTCAGATAAGAAGATTTAAAGAATGTATCAAGATTCCAGTCACTATTATTTGGGGAAATCAAAATGAAAAAGCAAATCGGTCCTGGGCCTGGGTGTCTTCACAAACCTAACAGTGCCACCTACAGTAACAGCTTAACTTATTCCTTTTCGGGTGAATTCTCTAAAATGAATTTTTAATTGGCGTTCTGTGTTGTTGTTTTCTATGAATGTGTAATAATGCAATTTAAGATTGATGATTAATTCAAAACATTTGGAAGTTATACACCCATAAAATTTAATATAGCCTATTTGAAAAACTTGTAGCAGTGTTCTGAAATTGCATAACAGATATTAGCAAACTGAGGCCTTTGGTGGTGTGGACAAGGGAAGTTTTATTTCAAATTTGAAAGTTTTTTACCGACTTTTTTACTTAATCAGTTATATTATATTTTATTTGTTACATAAGCTTCAAGATTTAAAATATTAGTGATTCAATCAAATACAATTTTAAGCATTAAATGGAAAACATTGTAACTTAACTAAACTAAAAATTTGCTCCCTGTTTGTAGATTTTTCTTATCTGTATCATCAGGCCCGGTGTAGTTTGGGAAACTTAGATTCTACAGCATTTTGTGACATTAACATTTCTAATCGTTGTATTCATTTCAAACATAAAGATATTGCAGTTACTTCCTAAAATGCTAATTAAGGCTATGAAAGAACAACTTGTGGTTTGTGTAAACGTCTTCCCTGTAGAGCGTAAAATATGTTGAAATAAAATTTATTCAAATGAAGATAAATTTTTGTCTAATAATTCTTTGGGATTTAGAATAAAAATTTAATTTGGTATTGTACCGTAGTGTCAATAGGTATTGGCTATGTTTGAATTTATAATTTAACCATATTATAAAGTTTAGGGCTATCAGAGAAAAATTTACTGTAGTTTACATGTGTATATTTAAACGATTATTAAGTCCTTATAAGGACCACGATGGAGCCTACATCGTCAACTACTGAAAGTTTGTAATAAAGTTTTTGTAAGGCTGAACAAAATAGACTATTATGTTTAGAAGGAAAACTTGTTATTTCTATCTATTCAAATAGTCCTAATTATATATCTCTTTTTTTTATTTATTTAATTTTGAATATTTATTTGTTTTTCATTTTTTTCCACGAATATATCTGGACTTTTGTAAAACAGTCGAAGATGAAGCTCATGAGGTTATTATTACTAAAGTTTGTTGAATTGTAACTTGTTAGTTCAATGACATTTTAGAATAGTTCATATGTGGTACTGTTTTTTTCTCATTTCTTTTAGCTACAAATAAATGTTTATAAGTTTTTTTAAGTGTAATACAATAATAAGGCAGTAAGGATGTAAGTTTTCCTATTTACAATGTCAATGTTGTTGTAGAAGACCTGTTAGGGTCAGTTTAAATTAGTATTGTAAACATATATCAATGAAAATGTACTTAATTGCTGTCTTTTATTCTATCCTAGAGTTTTATAATTACACACAACATGAAGGCCTAGCAATGGGTTCTCCGCTATCCAGCGTCCTTTCAGAACTGTTTCTAAATAATATTGAAAATATTTTTTTTATGGTCAAATTCCAACAAACAAAAGGAAAAAATAGTTCACTACAGCCGATATGTGGATGATACATTAATTTTATTTAATGGTAATGAAAGGCAAATCAAGATACTCGGATATTACCTAAATAAAGTCCACCATAAATTAAAATTCACTCTCGAAACCGAAGCCAACAAGTCAATTAACTTCTTAGATGTAACAATCACAAGAAACGACCACAACCTGGAATTTAAAATATACAGAAAACCCACAACAACCGACCAGACCATCCACTCATCATCACACCATCCTTTCAACCACAAGACAGCGACAGCTGCTTACAATAGTTTCGTCCATAGACTATTATCCATACCACTCACCCCAGAAAATTACAACAAAGAAATACACATTTTGAAATACATAGCAGTTTCCAACAGGTACAAAAGCTCTCTCATTGATAAACTCATTAAAAAACAGAAGAATAAAATAAAAGACATCCCAGAACCCAGAAACAAAAAATAAGTCTCCGCTGAATTTGGGAGTAGTACCTACCCAATAACACCTTGAGAAAAGAAATGTCAAAGAACGATGTACAAGTTGCATACAAGACATACAACAAATTATCTTGCATGCTCAGAGAAAGGAAAAATACCCCCGCAGCAAACCTGCTGACTTAGCAAATTTCCATATGCCTCATTGGATTTACACTAAAATGTCTCCTTAAATATATCACATTTATTCCCTATTTAAATAGAATTAGTTTAACGAGTACTTAGGTTTGCTGCAACAGGGAGGGTAAAAAAGTGTTTTTTGATGTAAAATGTTAATAGGTACTGTAGTTTAGGAAGAAATCAATGTATTTTCCAAATTTGATCAAAATATGTTCATAAATAAGCAAACTACAACAGTTGACTTATTCTCCAAAGAATAACATGGGAATTTTAAAATTACAATTTTTTTTAATTTTCTCCGCGCATAATAACGCTTCAATATACTAAATTATTTGTTTCTTTAAGCTCTACATAATGGTTTGAAAATTAATTGTGAAATTTTGTGTTTTTAGGGTCAAAAATGGGAAAAACCTATTTTTACCCATACAAAAATGTCAAAACTATTTATTTATTTACTAATGATTCGAAATTATTTCGGTAATGGTAAGTTAATAATACAGAAATATTAAGGAACCAAACTATTGTTAACACTCGCACAACAGATATAATAGGCCTTCAAAGAATCAAATGTTATAACCTATCAAGGACAAGCATTCAAGGTTAAAGCCCCAGTATACAAAATACAAACTAAATCATTTTATTTGTAGAAGTTCACAAAATGGTATTAATTCGAACAAAAGAAACAAATGCCGACTACGAAAATAGATTTTTCATAACCTGTAAAATGTCCAAATTAAATGAACAGTACTATCTTCTTACATCCCAATAAACTACTATTTGAATAAGAAGTAAGACGACCATGGATAAAACATACTCTCCCTTATCTTACTAAAATGTGAAAGTTTGTGTATTTGTTTGTTTGAAGTTCAATCACGCAATAACTACTGGACGGATTGGGCTGAAATTTGGCATGATGCTAGAACACATTAGCTACGCGCGCACTATTGCGGCACGGCACGGACGGGCGGTACGGCACGCTCGGCATTTTTATTCCCGATTATCATATAGGCATATTATCTCAAAAATCCTTTCGGGCTTGGAGTAGTAGTCTCAGCCCAAGGTCTCAGTCTAGTGCGTAGAGGAGACTAGCATCTCCCGTTCCTAGTCACTAGTGGAGAGAACCTCTCTCTTGTGCAAAGGGGTGGGGGGAGCGTGTGAGGAGGAGGGGCGGTAAACCCAACCCGCAATTGGGAATGGGGCAATCAGCAATTCGAATTCGTCGTCGTCTGCTTTTGTTGTTGTTGATGTTTGGTTTACTATAACTGCTGAGCTGAGCTCTGAGCTGAGTGCTGTCATTGGTGCTGTAAATGTTGTGATTGTTCTAGTTCGCTTATAGTTATAGTAAGTTTAATCATTACTGTCTGTGATAATTTAATACCATAACATTTCATTATTTATATACATAATAGTAGTTTATGTAGTAATCTATTTGAGCTGAAGTAAGAAAACCTCTCTAAGTAAAGCCTATGTAAGTTATGGTCACTGTTAGTACACCCGCAACAATATTTTAAGCCTTACTAGGTAAAAAGCAGTTTTCCTTTTTCCATTAGGTCTACGCTTAAATAGCCAACGTACCTTTTACGTTTTACCTTTCACCAGTACCGGTAACTTACATTTAAACGTTTTCTTTGTTGACAGTTTAAATTCCGGCGTCCACGGACAGATACTTAAAGGTTTAAGGCTTGATACTCAAAGATAAGGCTGAAAAACTCACTTTAAGGAAAGTAAGTACTTTACTTAAGTTACTTTAAGCCCTATTGTAGGAGAATGGGCTGCCCTTTAACTTAGTTTACTTCCTACACTCACTCAAATGAATATATCGATAGATAGGCTTTATATCGAATTACATTCGATATATCGAGCTTGGTTAATTAGGTTAACCTAACCTAACTAGCCTAACCGAATGAAATATTCAAGATAACGAATAGTCTATAGCCTATAGGGCCTATCAATATTTTTCATTCGAATGAGTGTAAGACGTAAACTAAAGTGCAGCCAGAGAATGTGACCAGAATAGATTTGTATAGGTACCTATCCTAAGAAACTTATTAAACATTCCTGGTAACACCACATTGAACTCATAGCTGTGAGACAGTCAATGGTAACCTAATAACCTTGTTTAGGAGGCTTAGAGAGATAAGTTAAGCATAACTTATTTCACTGAAATGAATTTACGAATTGTGTTTAAGTTATAGGCATGCACTGTGGATGCGATACTCTCTGGTGTGGATTATTGTCCACACGAGTGAGTACTACAACTATCCGCAGTACCGGTACTAAGTTAATTATCCTGAAAATTTGACCAATTCGTATAAGGCAAGTCAAAAATGGGGTTCGGATTCCACTATAATCTGTAGGCCTTATAGTATTGTTATTGCCTGTTAACAATGCATGTTGTTTTCCCATTTCTTCTATGGATGTTGATTTATGTATGTGGTCCTGAAATTCGTATAATTGCATGTTGTTAAGTCCACTAACTGTTAAGATGTTAACTGTTTTGTCATAAAGTATTTATTATAGTATTGTTATTGCCTGTTAATAATGCATGTTGTTTTCCCATTTCTTCTATGGGGATGTTGATTTATGTATGTGGTCCTGAAATTCGTATAATTGCATGTTAAGTCCACTAACTGTTAAGATGTTAACCGTTTTTTCATAAAGTATTTATTACAGTATTGTTATTGCCTGTTAATAATGTATGTTGTTTTCCCATTTCTTTTATGGATGTGTTTTGGCATTTTTCAAATTATATTATTGCATGTTCTATGGTTAAGTAATGATTTTTATTGGATATCCAGTAATCGTTGGTTTACAGTTTGAGAGTGGTCTCATATTTTTGATTC